GAGCTGTGCAAGTCTGACTAGGCTACCAGGAAGCCAGTTCTCATAGAAATTAAAGTTGGTATATGGACGCTTCCAGATCCTCAACTTTCTGCTCACGGAAGTCGTGCCTGATGTACTTTCTGGTGTCTTTACTGTACAATCAGCCCCACCTTTTCTGTCATTCATATAAACTATTTATAGATCAGTGAGTACCTTGGCCTCTTGGAACAAGCGTCGTGGCCAGAGGCCCCGGCCAGCAAGACAGGTGCCCACCAGCTCAGTGGAATGGTAGTGGATACTTGGTCTGTGGGTGGAGCAGGACATAGAGCCTGTGGCTCCCAGTGAAAACTACTGAAGTGGGAGAGACCTGGGATCCTGGTGGTGACCAACTAAATCCGGTAGGGTGGACGTTTTGCCAAGGCCTACGTCTGTTAAGGTGACCCGTGCATTCTCGACCCTGGCCAGAGTTTGAGACACAGACCATAGCCCTGTCCACTCCTGCTTCACCTCCTGCAGGGTCTGGGAGTAGGGCCTTGTTGCCTCAGAGAACAGGCCTGTCCACAGGGTGGTGTGTGATTCTGCTCATAGTCTCAGCTCTTAACACCTCACTGCAGGCATGTGAACTTCCCCTCAGGTAGCTGGTTCTGGAAGGTTCCATGGCCCATGACTAACAGCAGAAACTTCCCCCACACAGCTGCTTTCTGTTGGGAGGGATGAGGTAGTTTCTGGGTTTTGTCCCTTTGGAGTCCTTGGTCCTCAACCCTTGGGCCCCTGATGCCCGTTTCCCCATCTATAGGTTGCGGTTACCGTCCTCCCAGGCCCACAGCAGGTGCTCCACCTACCTTGGCAGCAGCAATTGCTGTTGCTGTTGAGTCAGCCCCAGAAACAAGGGAACTAGAGTAGGGGCTTGTTCGGTTCTCGTTTGGAAACTTTTTTCACAGGAGTATCTATGGTAGCCTGAAACTCACTAAGCCAAGGGGTTGGAGATGAAAACACCCTCTCAGCTCATAGGACTCTAGGACCATGTTCAATGGCTCTTGGTGCTCCCTCAAGTGCTCTCCAGGCCCCAGGGAAGCCCCTCTGCCTCCCAGTGGGACTGAGCCATATACTCCAGAAAGACTACTAAGGATAGTCCCAGGTCCTTTGCCCGATGGAGGCAGGTGGTAGCTCCCAAGGAGCAGGGAGGAAGCACAGAGTTCCCCACTCTGCTGTGCAGGAGGGCCACCCCACAACTGCCAAGTTTTGCCAAAGTTGTGGTGAAGTCCAAAGGGCATTCAGCATCCAGCTGGACATGACTTTGGGGTCTTTCCCTTATTTCTCATGGGCAAACTGAGGCCCAAGCAGGGGGAATAGGTCAGGCTACTGTGCAGGGCAAAAGCGAGGAGCCAGCTCTGGGGTCCCCAAAGTGGAGACTCTGAGCAGGAAGGTGGATGGAAACCCGTTGTTATCTATTGACATTAGCAGAATCCTTGACCCTAGGATGGAAAACTTGTTTCGTTTGTCTTCCTGCCTCCGGGCTGGGCTGCTAGTGATCACTGTGGTCTAGGAAAGGCCCCATTTCAAAAGCTTCCTGTTAATAACATTTACTGATTGGGTCTCTCTCCTGACTAACTATGGCTGCAACTTTCCTTCAGAGTGGAGTTTAGGGAAGTGCCTAAAGTTTATTATTTTTTATAAATCTTTATTATTATTATTATTATTATTATTATTATTTGTGTGTGTGGTGTGTGTGTGTTGTATGTGATGTGTTTGTGAGTACAGTCATCAAACTCAGTTCATCACATTTGTCCAGCAAGCACTTTTACTCACTGAGCCATTCACCCAGGTTTATTCTGTGCGTGTGTGTGTGTGTGTGTGTGTGTGTGTGTGTATGTGTGTGTGTACGCACATATGTGTATGTGGGTACATGTGCACATGCATGCATATGCACATGGAGGCCAGACATCAACTTCAGGTCTCATTCCTTTGGTGCTGTCCACCTTGTTTTGAGATAGGATCTCTTGCTGGGACCCAGGGCTCTCCATTTTGGCTAAATTGGCTGGCCAGTGAACCTCAGGGATGTGCCAGTCTCTGCCTCCCTGGTATTGGGGTTACAACTTCGTGCCACTACACCTGGCTTTTTTATGTGGTTTCTGGGGATTGAACTTAAGTCTTCATTCTTACATGGCAAGCACTTCATAAACTGCAATTAGCATCAGAATATTTCCCTACCATAGAAGAAACCGGCAACCGTCAGCAATTTCCATTTTCTCCCAGGTGTAGAATTCTATCTTCGGTAGTTAAAATTGATAAAAGTTTATAATATTACTTGCTTCTTTGGTACGAGGTCTGAATCTAGGACTTTACACATGTTAAGCATACAGTACACCCCTGGGCTATGTCCCCAGCCTTTTTAGTATTATTTTTAACATTTTGAGACGCATTGGTGTATATTGCAGAATTTAAAAATAAGAACCCATTCTTGGTGTTGGGAAGATGGCTCAGCCAGTGAAGTGCTTGTCTTGCAAGAGTGAGGATTCAAGTTCGGTCCTCAGAACATACTTCTTTTTATTTTCAAAGCTGCATGTGGTAACATGCACTTATAATCCCAGCTCTAGAGGTGGAAACCTAGCGAGATCTCTGAGGCTTCCCAGCCAGCCAGCCTAGCCCTCTTGGTGGATCCAGTACCGTGAGAGACCCTGTCTCAAAACCAAAGCAAAACTAGTAAGATGGATGTTGTGCCCAAGGAATGACAGCTAAGGTTGTCCTTTGACCTCCCTCCAAATTCACACACACACACAATATGTGTGTGTGCCCTCCATACGCACACACATGAACATGATTACACATATGAACATGCACCCACACAAATTTTTAAAAAGAGCCCGCTTTTTCAGTGGAATAGGGTTTTTTTTGTTTTGTTTTGTTTTTTGTTTTTTTTTTTGGTCTTTTTGAGACAGGGTCTCCCTGTGGCCCCAGCTGTCCTGGAACTCACTATGTAGACCAGGCTGGCCTCGAACTCACAGAGATCCACCTGCCTCTGCCTCCCGAGTGTTGGGATTAAAGGCGAGTACCACCATGCCTGGCTGGAATAGGATTTCTTTGTCTTCTTTTTTTTCTTTTGTTGTTGCTCTGGACATTTTTTTACCCTCATTAAAGGGACCCACAGTTGAGGGGGGACTATGACTTCATCCACAGTGCATTTGTTTCTGCTCTCTCCATCTCCAGAGAGCTCTCTGTGAGTTGGAGCTAGCCTGGTCTACGTATCAAGTTCCAGACCAGCCAGGGCTACACAGTGAGACCCTGTCTCAAAAAACCAAACAATAGACGAACAACAAACAAAAGACACCAATCCTGAATTGGAGTGATAACTCAGCAATTAAGAGGACTGGCCTCTTTTGCAGAGGGCCTAGGTTCAATTCCCAACACCTACATGGGCAGCTCACAACTGCCTGTAGCTCCAGTTATAGGGAATCTGATTTCCTCTTCTGGCCTATGTGAACAGTGCATGCATGTGGTATACTTACATACATGCAGGCAAAACACTCATAAACGTAAAATAAATTCTTCATCCCCAGAACCCAGAAGAGCACCAAGCAGTTCCAGATGTACGCTTGTGCCTGAGAGGAGAAGGGTTACTCTGGGCCTGCTGGTCAGCAGAGTCCACCCACCCTCAGCAGTTCCTGGGTATCCATGAGCCTAGGAGAAACAATTTTCAGATTCCTAAGAATTGCTCTGATATGCTGGCTGACCATAGCCTGCCTCCTCTATAAAGAAGGCAGGGCCCAGGCCCTCTATGATCAGAACAGGGATGCCTAGTAAGGCTGCTGTAGGAAGCTGCTCTTTAATCTAGATGCCTGAGGTAGCTCTGCATAAGTTCCCTGACTAGGAAACTTCCTGGTAGTAGGGACATGGGCCCTGAATGCCCTTGGGATTCCAGCTGCAACTGGGCTGGCATTTCCAGTTTCCCTGACAGCCAGAAGGAAGCCCAGGGACGTAGGATTCCTCCAGCTCTGACCTGTTGGTTGGTGTGACCCAAACACCACTGTCAGGCTGTGTGGCCAACTGGCTGTTTGGCTCTAACACCTGTTACACATGACTCTGGGCCGGCACCTCTCTCTCTCTCTCTCTCTCTCTCTCTCTCTCTCTCTCTCTCATTAATTTTATTCGTGTATATGTGTGTGCGCAAGCACACAGCATGTGCATGTGAAGGTCAGAAGACAACTTGTGGGAATCAGTTCTCTCCTTCCAACCTGTGGGTCTTAGAGACTGAACTCAGGTTGTCAGGGGTGGCAAGTGCCTTTACCCACTGACCAGCCCTGGGCCAGCATTTCTTATGGCTTAGTGGGCAGCACAGTGTGGTAGCTCAGCACATAGGTGCTGAACACAGGGTGCCTGGACTCAGATCTCAGCCTGTAACCTAGTGTGTTTGGTACCTTCTCTGTGCCTCAGTGTCCCCTCCTGTAAATGAAAGCAAGAACAATACCTGAGAGGCTCCTGAAAGCACAGAAGGACCCCCTTCCGAAACCCATGTGGGGTCCTGTGTCTGGGGTGGCAGAGTACTAAAGAGAGCTGCTCCCTCTCGCCGTAGAGCCACACCGAAGGCATCATTGGTCGCAGACAGGGCAGAGTGGTCCCATATCGCACATCCCAGGAGCAGCTCCTTGTGTCCTAGCCTGTCTCTTCCAGCAGAGTGTGCCTGCACAAGTCCTTGAGACTCCGGCCCTCAGTTCTCTTTTCTATAAAATGGGGATGAGGCCCATACTTGCTTTTCTGTAGTTATTCCCTCACAAATGATAGCTGCTGCGGAGAATGGGTGAGTCAGTGTTGGCAGAGGTTTTCTGAACCTCTGGCTCAGCTCAGCTTTTCTGTATTCTGTTACCATTCATTCAGAATTTAAAAATCACATGTCCTAATTATCTGCTCGTTAAAAATCTATCCAAATCAACGCTAACCCTGCACATGTCATTAAGTTTTGCCTGCTCTAGAACCTTCCAAAGCTTGGCTCAAAGTTCTCTTTTCCTCTCTTCTGGTTTCTCCAGCCGAGCCCCTGCCGCTCATGGACCTGTGCCGGCGTTCGGTTCGCCTGGCCCTAGGGAAGGAGCGCCTGGGCGCCATCCCTGCGCTGCCGCTACCTGCCTCCCTCAAGGCCTACCTCCTCTACCAGTGACCCACGCCCCAGGACCACCACACAACAGCCACCTGGTGCCAATTCACTGAGCCATCGGGGGCCGCCGACCCCTGCGCGTGGGATGGACGCCCACCCTCAGCCATGGGCAGACAGCCCTCTCTTCCTCCTCAGTCAGCTGCGTCTGCTGACTGGACAGATGCCAACAGGACTTTCCTCCCTCCCGGACACTGGCTGGAGCAGCAGCATCCATGCCCTCCCTGAACCAGACACAGAGAATAAACTTCTATGAAAGCCTCTGCCAGGCGCCTGTCTGCTGTCAGGTGGGGTGGGCTGCTTCTGCAGCGGACAGTCTATGGCCACCTAGGGGTCCTGGGTGGTGAGACCAGTGGGAGGGCTCGAGGGCAGATTCTAGGAACAAGAAGGGCCAGGACCAGGCCACACAAATGAAGCTCAGGATGTCACACAGCATAGACACTGAGGCAGAACCCCAGGTTGGGCCTCCCTCGGGCCAATGAGTGCCAGGCTCAATGCCGGTTGTCGGTGCTCTGTACCCTGTATTTATTCTTTAAACAGTAACACAGGCCGTTTATTTATTCCATTTAGAAGGAAGCTTTGTTAGGTCACCTCTCTTGGTGTGTTCTGTTTCTTTCCCCAACCTGCAATGCCCTAGGATGCGTGTGCCACACCTGTCCTCCTCCTGGGACATGCCTGTGGCATATGAGCTGCCATGCGATGCCACAAGAGTGTCTTTGTGTACATCCCTCAATCCAGTTTCCAGGGGGCTCTGTGCCAAGCACCAGGCCCCCCAGAGAATTAGCCTCACGTGCAATATGAGTGACTTAGGGCTCCCGATAGGGCTGTGCAAGTCCCCGTGTCCCCAGGTAGCTGATTACCTTGGGAGTTCATACATCATTACAGGTGTTTGGATTTCTTTGGTCTTCCATGAGTTTTTGGTGTAGCTTTGATTTTGTTCCTGGTTTTCTAGCTGAGATTTCCCATTGGCATCCTCAGAAGCCAGAAGACCTTTGGGACAGACAGCAGTGAGTAGGGTCTCCAACCTCTGGGAAGCCACGGGCAGGGCCGAATAGGCAGACCAAAAGCAGAGTGCTGTTTTGGAGTCCACACTCCAACCCAGGTTTGGGAATCATATGGAGCAGCCCCAGTTCATCAAGGCCCACCCTCACCCAAGCCTCAGAAGAAGGGTGTGGAACAGCCTGCAGGAGATGAAGGCCTGTCGCCAGCAGCTCCCCCAGCTACATCCCAGCACTTGCTCCTGCTCCCTAGGTTGGGAATGTGGCCCAGTTAATAGAGTGCTTGCCTGCCATGCAGGAAGCTCCAGCACCACATAAAATCTGTCATGGTGATACTTGTGTAACTCCAGCACTTGGGAGGTGGAGGCAGGAGGATTGGAAGTTCAAGGTCATCTTCAGCTACATAGAGAGTTCAAGGCCAGCCTGGGCTACATGAGACCGCGTCTCAAAAGAAAAAAGAAAAGACATGAACTCCCTTAGAATCTGAGTTCTGTTCATTTCTGCACAGGTACAATAGATGACTTTATTTGTTGAAAATGTTTAATATATACATATGTATTTGTCGGTAAGAGTTATGTTTTAAGCAGCTGCTGTAGGGTACCTTTTTTTTTTTTTTTGTCTTACAGTAGTGTTTTTTTGTTTTTTGTTTAAGCACAGAATTGGTGCCAAGACTAGATGAGGAATGTAAATTATTCCCTTCATATTTTGAGGGTTTTTTTTTTTCTTTTCAGAGCAAGGGGCCTTATCAGACTGTAAGATTTCACTTGCCCCCATTTCAGAGTGGGTCATGTTCACTTATACAGATCTCAACTTGTTGCTGTGACCCAGCTGTCTGTCCTGGATGCTAGTGAATGCCTGGGCTCTCCACATCCCCCACCCCCTGTCACCCAGGGACTCTCCATCCCTCCTGTCTTCCTATCTGCCTAAAGCCTTGTGGCATGTTTAGTTTTGAAACCCTTGTTCTGTTCTATTTTATAATGACTCATAATAGCAACCTAATAAAAGTTTGTTAAAACATGAAACCATTTTTGAGTTCCTCCTCTGTGTCTTAGGGGAGGAGCGGGAGGCATGGCAAAGCCCTCTACCATCCAGCCTGTGGACTTCCCTGCCTTAGGGGAGGAGCAGGAGGCATGGCAAAGCCCTCTACCATCCAGCCTGTGGACTTCCCTGCCTTAGGGGAGGAGCAGGAGGCATGGCAAAGCCCTCTACCATCCAGCCTGTGGACCTCCCTGCCTTAGGGGAGGAGCAGGAGGCATGGCAAAGCCCTCTACCATCCAGCCTGTGGACCTCCCTGCCTTAGGGGAGGAGCAGGAGGCATGGCAAAGCCCTCTACCATCCAGCCGGCAGTGCTGCCTGTGGGCTTCCCTGCCTTGCTGCTCCTTGGTCTGGCCTGAGAACAAGAGCCTCAGTGAGAGTAGGAGGATCCTGGGGGGACCATCCTAGGATATACCTCTGTCTTGCAGAAAGTTTGTAACCCTAGCAACCTAATGAAGGGAGCCCACTGAAGCCTAAGAGGTCATTTTCTGCGTGCTGATCAGTGCCTCTCATTGCCTTGTTAAAAAGCTCAGAGTGGGGCTGAAGAGATGGTTCAGGGGTCAAGAGCACTGGCTGCTTTTGCAGAGGACCTGGGTTCAGTTCCCAGCACCCAAATGGCAGCTAACAATGTCTATAACTCCAGTTCCAGGGGATCCAATGCCCTCTTCTGCCCTCCATAGGCACTGCACTTCACAAGTACACTTACTTTCATGCAGGCAATACACTCATACACATAAAATAATATAATTTTTTTTAAAAAAGCTCAGTAAGAGTTGGGGAAATGGCTCAGCTTGTCGAGTGCTGTCACATAATCACGAAGACCCGAGTTTAGATCCCCAGCACCCATGTAAAAAGCTGGGTGTGGTGGCGCATGTCTGAATTCCAGTGTTGGGGAGGCATAGACAAGCAGATCCCTGGAGCTTGCAGGCCCAGCTAGTCTTGCCAATTCAGAGAGTTCCAGGTTCAGGGAGTGACCCTGTCTCAACGAATAAGATGGCAAGTGACTAAGGAAAGCACCTGGTGTCAGCCTCTGGCCTGTGGCAACTTCACAAGTATATGTGTATATGCATGTGTGCTCTCTCTCTCTCTCTCTAGCTATATATATACACACACATATACATATACACATATATACACACATATACACACATATATACACATACACATATATAAACACACACACATACACACACACATATATATACACACACACACACACACACACACATATATATATTTAATATGAGCAGAGCAGAGCGGGAACTGATGTGGCCTCTGAGTCCAGGTTCAGCATTTATCAGGAGGAGCAGACCCGCTTTCAGCTTTATAGTCCCAGCTTCATGATGCTGAAAGAGCCTTGCCCAGTGAACCCATCCCACCAAGGGCTGCAGACAGAGGCCTCGTGGGAAGGACAGGAAATTCTGGCTTATTTAGAAGATAGATGAACGATACTGTGAACAGTTGAAAAATTCACTAAGTGCAATCACATGCCAAGACTAGTTTCTAGAGAACCAGCAAGAACCTATGTAGCTCAGTGTGGGGATTTCTCATCTGATGGGTGTCTCAGGTTCTGGGGCTGTCATAGGAAATACCTGGTCTGAGGGCTCGAGATCCTCGACAGGTCCCTTTCTGAGAGTCTCCGGACTGGTTTTCCTTAGATCCCTGTGTTGTTTAAAAATTCAAATTCCCATGCTGGTGATGTAACTCAGCCTAGAGTGCACGAAGTCCTGGGTTCAGTTCCCCAGCACCACATAAATCCTGGCATGGGCCAGCAAGATAGCTCAATAAGTAAAGGCACTTGCTGCCAAGCCTGAAGGCCTGAGTTCAATCCCAAGGACTCATGGTAGAGAAAACTGACTCCCTCAATCTATCCTCCTATTTCACATGTTCACCATAGTGACAGACAGATACACACACACACACACACACACACACACATGCACACACATTAAAATGTAAATTAAAAATGAGTGGTGGCACACATCTGTAATCTCAGCTCTCGGGAGGTAGAAGCAGGAGGATCAGGAACTCAAGGTCATCCTTGGCTACACAGTGGTTTAGAGGCCAGCCTGGGTTACATGAGACCCTTGTCTCAAAAACAAAAAAACTATCATTAAAATGCAGAATTCAGGATCCCATCCTTCCCCTCTCAACCCCCCCCCCCATCCTCATGGACCCAATCAGTTCTGGGGTCAGGCCTAGGGACCTGCACTTCTCTGCACTCCCCCGGTGACCTTGCCTGGGACAGCTGCATAGTGCTTGATCTTTCTCTTGCAAAGTTGCTAGGTAAAGGGAATCATGCTAGTGTGGTGGCAGTTTGGCCCCAGGGACCAGCGTGTGGAAACTTGAGTCACTCTAAGTTCAAATATTGGCCTTGTCACCCCATGAGCCTCTGTAACATGGCAGTCACAGATGTAACAAGGGATCATGAGGTGCCCCAGAGCAGAGTTCAGTCCACTAAGTGTGCCAGCAAGTGCTTTCAAGACATGCGAGCACTGAAAGATGGCACTCCTTGCATTGGGGTTTGGCTTTGGGGGACAAACCATGGATTCCTGAACCAACCTTCTAATCTATCTTTCCAGGTAATCTCTACAGATCAAGGTGGATATTGGGAAAAGGAGCCTGCCCCGGATGTGGGCAGAGGCAAGGGGGTGGGTCTAACGTTATTTTTAAGCTGGAGTTCATGTCTGGGTTGCAGTTGGAACTCTGGCTTCCTTTGAAGGGGTGGCAGGGGAAAAGGGGGGTCATGCATGGGGTGGGGGAGGCACTGGCAAAATAAGGGTCTTTGTGCTGGGAGACTTCTGGGGGAGCCGCGCTTTGTGCTGAAGGGAACAGTATTAATAAAACCATCTGTGCAGACTTGGCCCATGTGGTTGTAATTAATCCCCTGCCTTCGAGCAGGTAGCCGGCTCTCCGGCTTGGCCATAGATGGGAAGACGCCTCTGTCTCCATCCCCGGCAGCAGCCTCCCTCCCGCTCCTCCGCGGGATGAGGAATGTGGACTTTGCTGAACCGTAAACTATGCTGGGGAAGCTGGGGAGGGGGCCGAAGACAGAGCAATTAGTTCATGCTCCAGTCCAGACACCCAAACATGGTCGGGTTCCAGCTGCAAGGAATATTTGAAATAAATGTGCTATGCAGGGCCAGGAGTTTGCTGTGTTTTCTGCACGGGGCCATGGCAACCAGGGAGGAAATCATGAGCTCGGATCGGGCTCGAGGATCAACAAATGATATCCTGGCCCAGCAAACCGGAGGAAGCGGCTCATGGCTCTTCGAGGGCTTCTCAGGACTCAGCTGTGGGAAGCCGGGACTCCACCAGTCCATTCTTCTAGTACGCTCAGACCTCATGGTCCTCTTTTAGACCCAGATTTTTCTTTTCGGTAGGAATTGTTCTCAGTGGTGACAGCTCAGGCTGTGACAGCTGTTAGATGATAGTGGCCCTGACCTCTGACCTGGCCCTGGGTGTGTCTTCCCACCCAGCCCCAGCTGCAACCCTTCTGGGTCTACTTTGTAGGCAGAAAGTCCTCTTCCAGCTCCCTACTGGCATATGATGGTAGACTTGTAGCTCTAAGGATGTGGCTTATAAATACCCATGAATAATGGGACCTGGCTGGGGGTGTCAGTCTGAAGGTCACAGATGCCCCTTGCATCTGAATCACCTAGAGAACTTAAGGAAAAAACACAGTCTCGTATCTATGCTGGGCATGGTGGCGCACGCCTTTGATCCCGGCACTCGGGAGGCAGAGGCAGGTGGAAGCTTTGTGAGTTCAAGGCCAGCCTGGTCTATATAGTGAGTTCCAGGACAGCTGGGGCTACAGGGAGACCCTGTCTCAAAAAAGACCAAAAATAAAAAAACAAAAAACCACAATCTCATCTTGCTTTGCTGTAGCTAGGGAGTCTAGTGACTGATAACATTGCTTCAGGGGTCCCTGGGATCGCAGAATTCGGCACTGTTTCACTTATGCAGATCCCTCTCCATTCTTCCAGTGACTTGCAGCATGTTAAGATGGAAAAGAGCTGGCATCCACCAGAACCACGTGGAGCTGGGGGTCAAGGTGGCAAGCCAGCACCCTGCCCAGGCACAAAGATCTGGTCTTCACAATACACCTAATAGGCCCACAGACATGCATAGGAGTAGAATTTTTATTTTATTTTATGTGTATGAGTATATTGCCTGCATGTATGTGAGTGCACCTATGCCGTGCAATGCCTGCGGATGTCAGAAGAAGGCATCAGATTCCCTTGGAACTGGAGTTTCAGATGGTTGTTAGCCACCATGTGGATACTAGAATTGAGCCTGGGTCCTCTGCAAGAGCAGCCAGTGCTCTTAACCACTGAGCCATCTCTCCAGCCCCCAAAGTCTTTCCTGGAAAACTGAACCAGGGGCTTGGTGACATCATCAGGTCTCCAAACCACTGCCCAGGCAAGATAGCCAGGACTGTCCCCTCCAGAGCTGCCCTTTTATATGCAATGAAGCTGCAATTCATTTTAAAGTGCACATGTCAGTGGCACTTGGCACACTCCCCAACATTGGGCGGTCACCTCATCTCATTCTTCCAAAGGGGATCCCCACCACTCAGTCACTCTTCCGTTTCCCTTGCCCTCAGCTCCTGACAGCCGTGAATCTACTTTCTGCCTCTGTGGATTTTCTATTTACCACAGCCACGGCACCATGGGACCTTTTGTGTCTGTCTCTTTTTGCTTCCAGTGGGCCTGCGAAGGGGATTTTTCCTTCACACCCTCCTCCGTTATATCTTTTCATTTCCTCGTTTGTCAGAAGGGAGAACATTTCCTCTTAGAACTGTTTCAGGATTAGTGAGCCAACGTCTGCGGAGCGCTCAGAACAATCTAAGCCATAGGTCTCTAAGAACCACTGAGTGATTCCCATCCACCCTCAGGAATCCCTTACATGTGTCCTGGGTTTACCAAAGCTAGCCCTTTCTTGGAAGGTACCTTGCATAGGCTATTGCCAGGACCCAG